TGGACAGTGCACGTCTCCTACGTCAGCCGGTTGATTGGACAGTGCACATCTCCTACGTCAGCCGGTTGATTGGACAGTGCACATCTCTTACGTCAGCCGGTTGATTGGACAGGGCACATCTCCTACGTCAGCCGGTTGATTGGACAGTGCACGTCTCCTGTCAGCCGGTTGATTGGACAGTGCATGTCTCCTGTCAGCTGGTTGATTGGACAGTGCACGTCTCCTGTCAGCCGGTTGATTGGACAGTGCACGTTTCCTGTCAGCCGGTTGATTGGACAGTGCACGTCTCCTGTCAGCCGGTTGATTGGACAGTGCACGTCTCCTGTCAGCCAGATGATTGGACAGTGCACGTCTCCTCTGTCCTGCTGTAATGGGGTGTGAGACTGGGCACTACCAGTTTGTTCCACCATCTGTACTATGGTTGAATTATTATTGTATGTGGAATAACAGAAATATTTGCCTTTACCTCATGCTCCCTTTGTCTTGGGGACTGAGTAGTAGGCCTGACTGTTTTTAATTATCTGTTTTAATAAATTATAATGTTTTTGGAGAACTCAGTCTGTGTCAAGGTGTTCATCTGAACTTGTGGTGTTTTAAATTGTTGGGTAATAACATCCCCCAACTGGTCCGGAGTTTTAGGGTGCACCAGTCCTGTTTTCCCGAACTCTAGCCCGTTTTCCTCGGATGTCCGGTTAGTTTGGGGAGGTGTGAACGCGCCATCGAACTCTGTCACGGAACAAAAAGGCGAACTCTGGCCCAGGCTAAAACCTAGGTCTGGGTCCGGTAGAAGGGAACTCCAGCGCGGTTCGAGTACAGTGTGAATGTAAACAGACCAGTCCCCGCTCCACAAGCAGGAAGTGGAGTACAGAGCAGGACAAACACACATTTCTCTTATATGGAGCCGTCAGCTGCCTTGTGTGAAAAAACAACATTCTCCATGGTCTTCTGTCTCATCTTCTGCTCATGCTGAGTCCATGGTTGAAAAATGACAAAATATAACTCCTAAAACTGATAAAACTTGATGCCACTCTGTGTTAGTTTTTATTTACAAAAGAATAATAAGAAGACGTGTCTTCAGAGGTTTTTGTGTTGTTTCTTTCAGTAGTTCTTGGTGCAGCGCCCCCACAGGCGAGCGGGGGAACAGGTTGGTTCAGCAGGTTGACTCGACTGCACAGTGCAGTGTGAATGCAAACGCACCAGCTCAAATGTAACAAAAGGTCATGAATATTGGTCCAGAACTGAACCCAGTCTACCGGACTATCAGCTGTGAAAACAACCTTATTCAAAACTATTTAAACAATGATGAGTCCAGCTACAGGCAAGAGGTGGAACACCTGGAGAGCTGGTGCAAAGAGAATAACCTTCACATCAACGTGAAGAAGACAAAGGAGATGATCATGGATTTCAGAAGGAACAAAAACACCTACACCCCCTGAACATAAGAGGATCTGTGGTGGAAGTGGTCTCCAGCTACAAGTACTTGGGTGTACACCTGAACAACAACCTCAGCTGGAGCAACAACACCACCAGCCTGATGAAGAAAGATCATCAGAGACTCTACTTCCTCAGACGGCTGAGGCGAGCTGGTCTGGAAGCTCAGTCCTCACCTCCTTCTACAGGTGTGCAGTGGAGAGCATCCTGTGCTCCAGCATCAA